ATCATGGTTGCACTATATGCTAACTAATTTGGATGTAAATTAAAGAAAAAAAAAAAAAGGCCTGTCCCAATGCTGGTGCTTCTCCCTGTTTGGTTTTGCTGGCTGTCACACCTCCTCTTCTTGTGCATTTTTTAAAAGCTTTATTTATTTATTTATTTATTTATTTATTTATTTATTTAGAGAGGCGGGGGCAGAGAGAATCCCTAGCAGGCTCTTCACTGTCAGCACAGAGCCTAACGTGGGGCTCCAACTCACAAACGGTGAGATCATGACCTGAGCGGAAATCAAGAGTCGGATGTGTAACGGACTGAACCACCCAGGCGCCGCTTGTGCATTTTTTAAAAGTTTATTTGATTTATTATTTATTTATTTATTTATAGCACACATGTGCATGGGGTAGGGGCAGAGAGGGTTGGAGGGAGACAGAATCCCAAGCAGGCTCTGCCTGGTGAGCTGGCAGCCCGATGAATGATCAGCATCTGGAACTCACCAACTGTGAGATGATGACCTCAGCGGAAACCAAGAGTTGGGCAGGTAGTGAGCCACCCAAGCGCCCGCTGCCACCTTTCTCGTGCATTCAAATTAAGTATGGTACCTATAGGAGGCAGGCATTGAAGTCTAACAGGCCAGGTTTATCAGTAAGATGGTCAACAAATAATTATGGTGTGATGTCAGATGAGTCATGCCTCTGAGCCTCAGCTTACTCATCAGGAAAATGGGATTAAACACACCCTTTCCTCCAATAATTCAATATTGTTACTATTTCATATTTAATAGTTTAACATTTATAGGCAGCCAGAAATACACCATGGAGAGACTGGGGCCTGAAAATCTAAATGGGATTAATTATCTGTGGTGGATGAAATCATCTTCCATTCTCTTGCTGACTGCAATAGAAATACCCACAGCTGAGGGTGAGAGCTGAGAGATCAGAGTCCGATGGCTGTCCATAAACTGGTATAGTCCTTGGGAAAGATTTTAGAGGTGAGGAAACCTCGTGTAGAAAAAGCAAGGCAAGGAAGACTGAGGGAGTGGGAGTTGGAGACTTCCTGTGCTGTTTCCTCCTCCACTTCTCCCCCTCCCCCACTCCCGCCAATCACAGATTCTGACCATTAAGGCATAAAGGTAGAAAATCCCATGGAGTCTGCGGCCAGGCCAGTCTCACTGTCCTGCTCTGACTATAAGCGCGGAGAATGGGAAAAGGCTACCCTCCCCCCCCCCCCCCCCCCCCCCCCCCCCCCCCCCCCCGACCCCTGTCTCGCTCCTTGCCATGCCGGGCTGCTGTTGCAAGTGGGAAGCAGTCTCAGGCCACACGCAGTCCTTTTTGCAAAGCCAAGGAGTGAATGAATGAGAGAGGGAGAGAGAGAAAGAGAGACAGAGGTGGTGTAGGGAGGATTAGGGGTGGGATTCCATGACGTTACCGGCTCCGCCTCCCGATGTATATAAGGGGGCGCTGGGCGCGCAACGACCCCAAGCAGCAGCTTTGAAGCCTGAGCACCTGAAGTCGCTAGCCCCAGCCCAACTCGGTTTAACTCAGCCTCACCCAACCCGATTTGAGACTCTCCTCTCCCTGGGCTTGCAACAGCTCTCCGGTAAGCCTTGGGGGCCGACAAGTGTGTCGGAAGGGGATGGCGAGGGTCTGGGCATACCTAGGATTCTCTGGCATCCAGAGCATGCAGTTACATCAACGCGGCCGTGACCTGTTGCTGGCGAGACCCCGGCCCCAAGAACCAAGGTTCCCGTCTCCACCTCAGCCCCAGACCGTTTCTAACGGGGACATAAGAATCTGGGAGCTGAGTTAGGGGGCATAGGGTGGGACCGTCTCTAGTGCGAGCAATTTCAGGCTGCTCTGGGGCCCCTCTGGGTGCATCTCCAAATCTTTAGAGGTCGAAGCCCCGCCCCACTGTTGATTCTTGCTGGTCAGCCTAGCAAGGCGGGAGGAAGTGGGGGAACATTTGCTTACTCCCCTGGGCGACAGTAGCACGGTTTACACGGTGTGGGCAGGGTGAGTAGGGATGGAATTGAGTCGGTGCTCACTTTTGATCAGCAGTGGAGGTCGGTCCTCTCCTCCCTCCGGGCAATCTGGGAACCTTGCCTATTAAGTAGCCCTTGGGATAAGCACTGAAAAGGAACGTGGAGAGTGGATGTGAGAAGGGCGTTCTGCCCAGAGTTGCTGGCTGCTCCTGGGATGAGTTTGTTTAATTCCCAAACAGCCACAGGCCAGAAAACGGACACAGAACAGGTTCCATGGTTTCTGGGTTGGGGTCTAGGATAAACCCTAGTTTCTCCGTCAGGGAAAGAGACGGATACTGACTGAACACCCATGAGGTGCCAGGCCACTGTATCATAGGGATCTTTCACCTGCTTTTTCTGCAAATTACTCCTACAAACCTGTGAGGTATTATTTTTCCTACTTGTTAAAGGAAGAAACTGAGGTTAGAGGAAGAGACTTGAATATCTTCCCCATCCCCCCCATCGCTCCTGAGCTTGGTGGAGTGTGTATTGTAATGCGCTCTTAGAGCTTAGGGATAATGAGCCCTATTGAAGGGCTTTTGTCTTGTTTCTCACCAGATCCTAGAATCCTCTTCAATTCCAGCTAGAATGCTGTGGCACGCACTTCGCAGATTTGGTCAAAAGCTGGTACGGAGACGTACCCTGGAGCCTGGCATGGCAGACACTCGCCTTGCCAGATGCCTGAGCACTCTGGATTTGGTGGCCCTGGGTGTGGGCAGCACGTTGGGTGCAGGCGTGTATGTCTTGGCTGGCGAGGTGGCCAAAGATAAAGCTGGACCATCCATTGTGATCTGCTTTTTGGTGGCCGCTCTATCTTCTGTGTTGGCTGGACTGTGCTATGCGGAGTTTGGTGCCCGAGTTCCCCGTTCTGGTTCTGCGTATCTGTACAGCTATGTCACCGTGGGTGAACTCTGGGCCTTCACCACTGGCTGGAACCTCATCCTCTCCTATGTCATCGGTGAGATGGTGGGGCAGGGAGGGGCTTCGAATCAGGAAGTGGTGAAGTGATGTAGTCTTCAACATTCACAGGACTCCAATACCCTTAAATGTGTTTGTTATGGGGCTGGGAGGGTTGAAGGTGTGGTGGAGAAATTGTTCCTTCTACTTATCTCTGCCCTGGTTTCCTTAATTAACTGCTTTGGGTTTTTAAAAAGTAAGATTAAGGGTGCCTGGCTGGCTCAGTCGTTGGAGCATGTGACTCTTGATCTAGGGGTTGTGAGTTCAAGCCCCACGGTGGGCGTAGAGCCTACTTAAAAAAAAGTAAGAATAGATGAAAACAGTAGGGATTATTTGTGTGACTGGTTTGGGGGAGGGAGGAAACTTGACTCCCTGTTTCTCCCTCTGCTCTACCAGGTACAGCCAGTGTGGCCCGGGCCTGGAGCTCGGCTTTCGACAACCTGATTGGGAACCACATCTCTCGTACCCTGCAAGGGAGCATCTCACTGCATGTTCCCTATGTCCTCGCAGAATATCCAGACTTCTTTGCTCTGGGCCTTGTGTTGTTGCTCACCGGTGAGGGAAAAGACAGGGTTAATGGTGGGAGGCAGGGCTAGGAGGGACTAAGCCTGAGAAGGGCTTGATGGAGGTGATAATGGTGAGAAAGCAGAGACGCTGGGCAGGAAAGGTGTGCACTGAGGCAGGGAAGGTGTGCACTGAGGCGGGGAAACAAATCTTGGACTGAGGACTTCCTGAGTCCTGATTGCCTCTTTCCCACAGGATTGCTGGCTCTGGGGGCCAGTGAGTCAGCCCTGGTTACCAAAGTGTTCACAGTGGTGAACCTTTTGGTTCTTGGTTTTGTCATCATCTCTGGCTTCATTAAGGGGGACTTGCACAATTGGAAACTCACAGAAGAGGACTACAAACTGACCGTGGCTCGACTCAATGACACTTATAGGTTAGGAGATTCACTTTCCGGAGATTCGGAGCTGGGAGCATGATGGGGAGCCAGGGGCGTCTGCGCTAAGGCATTCAGGATTGGGTTGGGGAGGAATGGGAGCTTAGGTCTTGAGCACCTGGCTGAGTAGTTTGGCATTAGGGAAAAGGCACAGAGTTGGCTGAACACACCTTTTACCTTTTCCACCCTTTTCTTCCACTTTAGCCTGGGCCCTCTGGGCTCTGGAGGATTTGTGCCTTTCGGCCTCGAGGGGATTCTCCATGGAGCAGCTACCTGTTTCTATGCATTTGTTGGTTTCGACTGTATTGCTACCACTGGTAACACAGTCATGCTGGTTCTGTCTGGGGCTTGGACACAGCGAATGCTCAGTTTGCATGCAGATTGGGGGTGGCAGAGGAGCGAACCTGCTTAGCTGATTCAGAAACTTGTGCCCCTTCCTGCAGGCGAAGAAGCTAAGAATCCCCAACGTTCCATCCCCGTGGGCATTGTGATTTCACTGTTGGTCTGCTTTTTGGCATATTTTGGTGTCTCTTCGGCACTTACGCTTATGATGCCTTACTACCAGCTTCAACCTGAGAGCCCCTTGCCGGAGGCCTTTCTCCACACTGGATGGGCCCCTGCCCGCTATGTTGTGGCTATTGGATCCCTCTGTGCTCTTTCTACCAGGTCAGTGGTAACTGTTTGTTCTCCTCTGCGGTCAGAGTCTTAGGCTTGAGCATTCGGTACCTGAGAAGAACCCTTAAAAGGGCTGTGAGGAGAAGGGGGAGACTCCTTAATCTCACAGGCTCAGGGGATAGAGATTGCAGTCACCTCACGCCACTCTGGGCATTCCTCCCTCCAGCCTCTTGGGCTCTATGTTCCCCATGCCTCGGGTGATCTATGCGATGGCAGAGGATGGCCTCCTGTTCCGTGTCCTCGCCAGGATCCACAGCGGCACACACACCCCCATCGTGGCCACTGTGGTCTCTGGCATTGTTGCAGGTAAAACGGTTGTCTCTGTCCTTCCCCTCGTTCTTTGACCGATTCCCTCAACTTTGCTCTTCGCTTCCCTCACATCTTGCTTTCTGCCCATCAATTCCAGCATTCATGGCATTCCTCTTTGAGCTCGCTGATCTTGTGGACCTTATGTCAATTGGGACCCTGCTTGCTTACTCCCTGGTGGCTGTTTGTGTCCTCATCCTCAGGTGAGACTCCCTCTGTGAGCTAGGATTTGGGTTTTTGTTCTTGGATGAGGAGTGATGGGGATGTGTTCTCCCTCCTCCTTCCTGTGCCTTCGTTATCCTGAGTCTCCTGGAGGAATATGGATATTCCTCCCCGCCCAAAGGAGCTTCCACCCTTCTGGCTTATGTGGGAGCTAGAGCTGCCTGCGAGAAGATGCTCAAGTGGTTAAGGGTTGTTCCTAATACTGCCTTCTTACTCTTGCCTCAGGTATCAGTCTGAGGTGAAGAATGAGGAGGATCAGGTGGAGCTGCAGGAGGAGAAGACAGCTGAAGCCGAGAAGCTGACCCTACAGGGACTATTTTGTCCACTCAACTCCAATCCCACTCCACTCTCTGGCCAAGTTGTCTATGTTTGCTCCTCATTGGTTGGTGAGCGATAGAAATTTTCTCTGGGGTGGCTTTGAGGTCAGCATGATGGGGGGAGAGAGGGTGTGGCATTTGGTGGCTGAGGTCGGCCTAGAGAGAACGGTGACCCTCCTTGGAACGGGGTGGCCTAATGTCTTAATGTGTTGGTCTCAAGAGTTGGTTTTGATGTTTCTCAACTTGACCCTTGAAGCTCTGCTGCTGACTCTTCTTTGCCTGGTGCTGACCAAGTGGCCTGTTCCACTGCTTTCTGGAGACCCAGTGTGGACTGCAGTGGTTGTGCTGCTCCTGATGCTCATTACTGGGATCACTGGGGTCATTTGGAGACAGCCACAGAGCTCCACTCCCCTTCACTTTAAGGTAAATGACCTCTTTCTTTCCACCTACCAACCCATGTCAGAAGACTCGGCTCCAGATGCCTTGTGATCTAATGGAGTTTGTAAGTGTTCTTTCATTGGACAAGAAAGGAAAGATACAGGAGATACCTAGGCCAATGACTTCTTCTCTCACCCTCCATAGTTCCTTTCCAGTTCTATTTCCCCAAACGTTGTATTCTTGGAGTCCTATACGATGTACATTCAGTGAGTGGGCATTGAAATACACAATATGAGTAGGAGTTGGACCCTCCCTTTCCTGGCCCCAGTAGGTTAGGGATCTCTTTCTAGGTCACCGCATGGTATCTACAAAGGAGATTTTGCTTTGTTCTCAGGTACCTGCTTTGCCTCTTCTCCCACTAATGAGCATCTTTGTGAATGTTTACCTTATGATGCAGATGACAGCTGGCACCTGGGCCCGATTTGGGGTCTGGATGCTGATTGGTAGGTATCCACTTGGGAAGGGTAGTCCTCTTGGGTATCCTATCCCAATGCTTTTCCCTCTTGGTCTCAAGTAGGGAGACCTATTAAGCCTTTACAAGTCACTATTTCCCTACCTCACAGCTACCTTTCCCCACTAGGGTTTGCTATCTACTTCGGCTATGGGATGCACCACAGCCTGGAAGAGGTTAAGAGTGACCAACCTCCACTCAAGTCTAGAGCCAAAACTTTAGACCTTGATCTCAGCAGTGCCTGTACACCTTCGATTTGACATCGTCATACCTGAATGCTGTCTGGTCCCCCTGCACAATAATGGAGAGTACTCTTGAGCACATGGGAAGCTAGGCCTCCCATGGGATGTTGGTGGGGGAACACTAGAGCTCTGTATTTATCGTGGAGTGAAAGATGTGTCTTTGCTGTGCCTCATTCCTTTTTTTTTTTTATACTGGTCTACTTCTCAATTGTGTCTGTAGTTGCTTACTGGCTTTTACAAAGTTATTATTAAAGGAAACTAGAAAAAGAAACTATGTCTTGTTCTTTGCTTGCTAGAGATGATGTGGAGCCTGACTTTCCATGTGGAGAGCTTCAGATGAGTGTCCTCTGTGCACTCCAGTCACCACAAAAGTATCTTGTGCCTGTGTGTGTTTCTTGTTGGCTCAGGTTTTGAGGAGGGTGGTGTGACCACTTGTCAAGTCTAGTCACACTTGAAGGAACGATCTTGAGATAGGTTTCCCTCTTGCTGTACTAAAGGTTAGATTCTAAATAAGTAGGACAGCAACACTTGTCTTTGGGATTTGGGGGTGGACTCTGATCTCAACACTGGCATTGGTTGGGACCTACACTGAGACCATTGTCTTTGGTTCCACCCCTTCTAGTTGGACCAGACCCAGACTCTTGTGATTTCCTGGGCAACAGAAATTTTGGCTGGGGTATTTGGCACTGCCGGGAGAAGGGGTGGACAATAGGGGGGTAACTGGTAAAGGACTGGTAAAGGATAGTATACATACATACTATCTATGTATGTATAGATAGTGATTGCTATAGAAGTAGTAAGGGAACAGAGGTCAGAGCTTTGCTCACACCATGAACTATTCATTTGTCCATTTCTTCAACAAACATACGTGGAGCTCTTATTAAAATGCTAGGCCCCATGCTGTGTCCTAGGGGTATAAACGTGAATAAAACAGTCCCTGCCCTCAAGGAACTCAAAATCCAGAGGAGGAGACAAGCCGGTGAACATGAAACAATGTGACCTGGACCAGGGCAGGGTAAGTGCTGAGTGCTACAGAAGCACAAAGGACGTTCTTGACCCAAGTCTTGAATAGGTATTTCTGAAGTGGACTGAGGGAAGGGTTCACTTGTCAGTGAAAAGTGTGCACAAAGCCATGTGCATGGTGAAAGAGCAGATTGTATTTGGAGGTATGACACGTAGTTCAGTGTGGCTGGAGGGTAGCGTATAGGGGGTTGTGAAATACAGCAGAGACCATATGAATGGCTTTTGTATATCCGACCAAGGAATTTAGGTACTCTCCTTATAAGTGGTGTGTGTGTGGAGGGGAGGGGGACAGGTTACTGAAGGATTCTAAGTAAGGAAGATGGTTGGATTTGTTAGTCTGGCAGCAGCAAGGAGGATGGCTTGGAAGAGGCTGGGGGAAGCTAGAGCAGTGAGCTAATAGTTACCATTTGTTGAGTATTAATGATATGCCAGCCCTTGTGCATACAATCTCATTTAGTCCTTGCAATAATTCTATGATATAGAAGTTATGAAAATTCATTTCTACAGATGACGGGGACAGGCTTTGGGTAAAAAATATGCTCTAGATCACATAACTTGGAATGGTCAGTGCCAGGATACAGAACCCAGTTCTGCCTGACTCTGCAGTCTATGCTCTTTAACCATTGTGTGACATTGCTAGTAGTAATTAGTTAGGAGGACAATTGTGATCATTTGGGGGTTCTCGGTCAGTTGGATGTAGGAGGTAAGAAAGAAGCAGATGGCTTAGGTTTCTGGGTGGAGTTTCTGATCAAATGACCAAATTATTAGCTGAGATAGCAAAAGAGGAAGAGCATATGGGGGAAAGATGAATTCAGTTCGATATGCTCATTTATAAGTGTATGTAAATTTAGCTTCCTACGGGTGAAGATAATGTAATCAATAATTGGAACTTGAAGCTAGGTTAGAAGTCTGGGCTAGAGTTACAAATTGAGGGGGCATCAACTCAGGACATACATGTATGTGAAGAAAATTTTGGGAGCACCTGGATGGCTCAGTTGGTAGAGCATGTGGCTCTTGATCTTGGGGTTGTAAGTTTGAGACCCACATTGTGTGTAGAGATTACTTTAAAAAAATTTTTTGTAGCATAAATTGTATAATTTTCTTTATATATAAAGAGCTCTTACAAATCAATAAGATGAATCACCTGATGAATGAATAAAAGATGTAAATAGTTTTCAGAAAAAACATATAACACCAAACAAATATTAAGATACTCAGTCTCTCAGTCTCACACATTAAAGAAATGCAAATCAAAACAACAATGAGATCTCGGTTCTTACCTTACAGACCAGCAAAACAAACTTTTTTTTTTTTAACGTTTATTTTATTTTTGAGACAGAGACAGAGCATGAACAGAAGAGGGTCAGGGAGAGGGAGACACAGAATCTGAAACAGGCTCCA